CATCAACACTCGAACGCAAGCCTCGTCCGATCCAGTTTCCACTCACTTAAACCACTCGAAACCCATTCAGATGCATCCTAACGTGTCTTCCGACCAATAGCTGACCTTTTATGGCCCAGGAATCCGCTCTGCCATGGAACGGGTCCTGCGTCCGTACCGATTTGCGTCGTACGCTCCGTTCGTTCTCGGAAACGGACCCCAAAATACGAACGTAAGCCTCGCCCGTGGCCCCAAATATTGAACGCACCCTACGTACGTTCCTGCGCAAGCACCCTCAAACGGGAACCGAACGAGTGGGCATCAAGGGGACGGTCGAGAGGCGAAAAGGTATAAAAGGATAGCAGAAAAGGGTGTTGTAGTCAGTCAATTCTTGGAGCTTAGTTCTCCCCCACCACCTGTACCCCCACCTGTGCAACTAAGTCTCGCTCACACCGAGTTGACCACATCCTCACTTGCCTCTAGCAGGGCATTTCACTCTCACACCTCCTTTCGCAAGGTCCCAACTCATCGGACCCCAAGTCATATCATCGGGCTTCCCCGTAATAGGATCACCAACTTCGCGAGCTTCACGCTTTGTAGAAGTCGGCCTGGGCAAAGCCATATTGGTTTAAATCGCCATCTGCCACCCAGCGTCACGACCGGACGTCCCATACGTTCGACTGACCAGCACCAGCCGGCGTTGCTGTCACTTGCTTTATAACCGTAAAACGTTGTATTAAGCCTTCCACCTTCGTTGGGAACATCGGGGAAACACGAGGGAAGGATTGCAGCATAGGCATCGGGTTTTACAGGAAACAACGCGTCGTTCGCTCGAGCTTGTGACCTAGGACAGGTAACTATCACCCCCACACCCGTTTATAGCTAACAGCAGGTACCCCCAACACGAAACCACGGAACGGACGCCTCGTACGATCCCGTGCAACACTCTCATTCGGACAACACACACGTCCCAATCCTACATCCCCACTATCCTCCAACGTTAATTAACCCCTAGAGGCCGAACGGGCTGTCTATTTGATAAAACATATTCTCATAGCGGCACCGCGGTCCTTATCACACCGCCTCCATCACCTACCATCGATACCATCGAAATTTTCCAGTTATCCTGGGTCATCCGTTCGACTCGGGATCTAGGCTTTCGACGGTGACACTTTTTCTTGTTCGGGCCAAACAACGTCACCCAGATATCGCGGGTACTCCTGCTGCTGAGGGGTTGAGGTCAGTTCTGCTCGATGGATAGTTCTCTTCGGTTGTTTCTCTGTCCCGGAATCTCAGGTTCCGTTCCATGAAACCGTCGCTCCGACTCTGGGGTTCAAAATTCTCTGATGTGACTGGACTTGATTTGTCCCAGCAGAATCAAAGCTAGCACTGAGTCGATGCTCCTCACCACACCGAACTGATACGCGTGGTCCCATGTGTACAGGCTCAATACTAGGACGATATCGGCTCGATGGCAGTGGGATCGCACCTGCAATGCCTGTTGTGTCTCGGAAAGCTGCGCAGGGTCACCGGTTCGACTCCGGGTCGAGCCGTTTGTTCATGAGTCTGTTTCTTTTTCGGGATGGCCCTTGATCCAACTGAGTGAGTCGATGGGTTTGAGCACACCAAACTGATACCTGTGGTCCCGTGTGTACAGGTTCAATACTGGGCTGATATCGGCTCGATGGCGGTGGGACCGCACCTGCGTGACCTGACGAAAAAGGCTGCAACTGTGCAGAGACACCTGTTCGACTCGGGATCGAGCCGTTTCTTGACGCGACGCTTATTTTTTCCGCGCCACTTCTGAATATCTGTGCTGGACATCAAAATTGAACTCTTCGTTCCGGCTCTTGTTTATTTATTTCCCGGACATTCGGATGCATAGATTCGGTCCATCAGTTTGTCGATGCTCCTCCGCACGGCAGATGATACCTAGGTATGCGCGTCCAGAACTGGGGTTATATCGGCTCGTTGGCGGTGGGACCGCATCTGCTTGAACTGCTTGCAAGGGAGAACGTCCCGAATGTGCAGAGATACCCGTTCGACTCGGGATCGGGCCGTAATTTGGGATCAGGTATTTTTCTCCACTTTTGCTACTCACAAAATAATCCTGAATGTCCCTGCAGCTGAAACGTTCATGGTTTAACTTTGGTGGAGAAGTACCACGAGACGTTGGAATTGAGTGTGTCTTGGCGCGAATATTGAACTCAGTTGTGGAGGTTAAGAATGAAATGCATACGGCCCGATGGCGGTGGGAGTCTGGGACTGCGCCTGCTTCACTTTAGGAAAATGTTGTCTACTCCAGCAGAGTCGCCGGTTCGACTCCGGCTCGAGCATAAGGTTGGACCAGTCAGTTTTGTTTTTCGAGATGATTCTTGTTTTTTTTTTTTTTTTTTTTTTGTGTAGTTTTATTTTCCTTCGACGTTGAGGGGATGAATTGCTTTGGTCCAGTAAAATCTAATCCATCGGCCAGTCGATGGATGTAAGAACGCCGATTTGATGCCCAGATATACCGGATACAAACCAAGCTGACATCGGCTCGATGGTTGAAATGCACCTGCTTCGCTTCGAGAACATCGATCAGCGCTTGAGCAGGGACACCCGTTCGACTCGGGATTGAGCCTTAGGCGGTTTTGAAATTCTTTTTTGGTGTCAGGTCAGCAAAAATCGACCACCTATCGCGGATACTTCTACCGATTAGAGATCGAGGGCACTTTTGCTGCTCATCGAATGGCCCTGAAATTTCTGCAGCTGAATGTGGGATACAGCTTCGGTGCACGAGTTCCACGAGTCGTTGAATAGAGTGCAGCCCTAATATTTACTAACCCGCTAGTTCGGGTTCAGAGTGAGGTTGATACGGCTTGATGGAGGTGGGACCGCACCGGCTTCGATTACGCAAATAGGACTCTGGTTGAGCAGGGACCACCCGTTCGACTCGGGTCGAGCCTTGAGATCGTGCTGCAATCCTTTTTTTTTGTTGGCCAACGAACATCGTCCAATTATCGCGTAGGGATCGAGGTCAATACGGCTCGATGGCAGTTGGATTTTACTTGCCTCACCTTAGTAAAATTCCTTCCGACTGTGCAGAGATACCCGTTCGACTCGGAGTCGAGCCGTTCTCCAGACTAACACAATTTTTCTTTCGATTTCCACCCAGTCGCGTCTGCTCACGATTCGTCATTAACCTACGCAGTCAACCATACATCCACTGGTAAGTAATTATGAAAGGAAGTTGACCGCGAAGGGTTACTTTGCCCGTGTTTGGCATCCGAATTAGAACGCGTCGGCCCGGGGTGTGCACGTGCTAGTGATGGTGCTTCTCTTGAAATTTTCACTCTCGACGTCGACAATCGAACGCGCAGTGTACTCAGGACTCGCACACGGCAGAGTGGATGTGAGTTTGAGAGCCACGGATGGACTTGATTGACGGGGAAGAGGCGCCGCAATTTTCGCTAGTCGATCCTTCAAGTTGCCAAAAGTCTCTGTTCTGTTCTCTTCCCTCCTTGTTGCTTTTCCCGGTACTCCCTCTCCCCTCCCCTTGCGCGCTCTCCTCCATGCTACTCGCTCCTCTGCCCCCACGTCCCGACACTGCGCAGGCCCGCCAACACCACCAACTCACGCGGTAACACAGCCACCCACAACTTTCTCAAAACTCGATCACATCCGCACCGACGTCATCCCGCCTCGTAAACTAAAGAAGTGCACAGACATGGCCCAACACCCCAAACGTATAAAGGGCAGCCCATTTTCGAGTGGGTTTCCTCAGAATCCCCCGCTTCTCTTCTTTAACCACCACTTCACTTTCACACTTCCAACCCCCCACTTATAACTTTACACGATGGCATCTTCTGCACCCAAGTGAGCCTCGTTTCCTTTGTGCTCGTCGTTCCCGTTATGCTGCGCGTCGTTGGCGTCCGCATCGTTGCCCCGCACCCCCTTCTCTTCTTCGTTTCATTCCCTCTCCCATAGCCTCGCGCGCCGTTTTCTTTCCATTTCGTCGGCTTTACGCCGTCACGCATCAACGTTCGTACTCGTCGTCGGCGGCATCTTTTCCTATTCCTCGTCGCGTCACTGCTCCACACCCTGCTCCTCCCTCCGATGCGCACCATCTACGTCTCCACTATCTCCCGCCCTCTCGCCCTTGCGCTCCTGATCAATACTGACCCGTGTTTGCAGCCAAACCAACGGCGCCACCAACAGCATGATGGGTAGCGCGAAAGAGATGGTGTGTCGTTCACTTTCTAGCTCATTGTTGCGTGCAGCTCACAACTGTGCAGGTCGGCGGCGCCGTCGGGTTGAAGTCGATGCAGAACGACGGGAAACGGCAGCACGCCGAGGTGGAATTCCTTTTATCATGTTATCTTTTAACCCGCCGCTGACGACATTCCTTCAGGGCGAGGCGGAGAAGAAGACGGCACAGACCGCGGACGCTGCCGATGGCTTGTACAACCAAGTGGCTGGAATGGTAAACAAGGTCGCAGGCCAGGTGATGGGTGACCCGAAGCAAGAAGCCTCTGGTGAGTTTGTGCTTCCCTGTCCTTTTCTCTACACGTCCCCGCTTCGTCCATTCCACCTCCTCTCATTTTATCCGCGAATCTCTCCAATTGCCCTACATATTGCTTCATTTCTGCCTATTTTCCTATCACGCCTGCTTCTACCCTTGTGCCCTGTCATCCATGCCCTCTTCCACCGACCTCTGTCTTGTTTCTTCATTCTCCCGCTGACTCGCGTCTCTAGGCAAGGCACAAGAAACCGCCGGTCAAGCAAAGAAGGAGGCCAACAAGCCCGTTTAGAGTAGTCTTTTATTCTTGTACAATGGCGTGAGAAGTAAAATCAATTGTCTTTTTTATCTCTATCTCGTTGAATGTGTGTTTGAGTCTTTGAGCTTCCGGGTTCGAGTTTGGCTCCTTGGTCGACGTTTGTAGTACTTCTTCGCTCTGGCGGGGAAGAAATCATACATACCTTCTAGTAGACCCCCAGGTAACTTTATCTTAAGTGCTGCACCTCAGATACCTCCCATCGGCTCGGTGGCGCATGGCCGCGCATTCACTACTATTGGAAGACCAACTTGGAATCTATGTAGAGACTCCCGTTCGATTCGGGGCTGGGCCGTGGGCCTGTACGACGTGATTCTTTTTTCGTTCCTTGTCTCATCGATCTCATCCTGCATATGGAATTCTCTTGCGCCCAGCGTCGTCAGATGAGAATCCAATGAGGGAAATGCGGAATGTATGGTTTAATTCTTTCGGGTGGTAGCGCCCGGGAGTACTTTCGGCGCCTCATGATCACCTTCGTAGCCGCGAAGGCCTGAGTCTCACACAATTTTGCATGGGATATGGTGGGAAACTCCGAGTCGTGTATCCTCGCATCGGTTCGGTGGCGCGTGGGCGCTGCATGTTGTTGTCGTGAGACTCGCTCAGAATCCACGTAGAGACATCCGTTCGATTCTGGGCTGAGCCATAGGTTGTACCGAAATAATCTTTTTGTTTTCTTGCCGCATTTCACCTGATCTGAGGACAAAGCCAGGTGTCTCAATGGGACACGTCAATGCATGACAAGTCGACAGCCCGTCTGCTGTTTTATCGCGGTCTCGTGGAATGTGTGTTTCAGTCTTCGAACTTTCGCTTTTGAGTCTCGCCCATTGCCTGCTGCGTTCTCCGGCGTATTAATTAGTTCAATACTCTATCGGGATTTCCTTGAGTTGATGTGCCGGAATTAATGTATGAGGTCTATCTTGGTGGTGCCCTCAGATACCTTCCATCAGCTCGGTGGCGCGTGGTGTGCATCTGCCCTCTATTTAGTAGGCATTATTAGACGAAAATTTGTGTAGAGATTCCCGTTCGATTTGGGGCTGAGCCATCAGGAGGTGAAAACCTTTTTTTCTTTCTTCTTCTTCGTTTCGGTTACCCATTTGAGGACACGGGCAAGTATCTGATCGTGATTGCATACACACCGCATAAATCTGCCAATATTAATGAGCTGTAGGTGGGGGTTGAACACTTTTATTGAACACCGAGATGGTATGAAATATCTCGAGATATTGTTTCACCGCCTGAGTTGCTCCAGTGTAAGTCAGTTATCCGTTCAGACCTACTGCTGGCTCGGTGGCGCGAATCTGCGTCTATTGGGCGGAAAACATCATTAACCGTTCTTTGACGGACACACCATGTAAAGAGCATATCCCTCGGGCACTCCTTCAATCGATTGGGAGGATCAGTGAGGGAGCCTCGCGCAATTGTTGTCCGAAGCCGAATGGCACGTCCTCGTGTTTCCGCCGGTTGTAGTCGAAGATCCTCTTCTTTGAAACCGAGATCGACAGGTAGCGCACAATGAAATGCAGCGCCTGCGTGCTGGAGTAGATGTGGTCCACGATGTTGTACTTTACCCCAGCTACGGACGCGGCCGGATTGCTCGCGTATGGTGAAAGGACTCCAGGAATGCTCACTGGAACGCTTTCGTCCCACCCATCTCGATGATCAGCACCACAGGCAGATTGAGGATAACCTCCTGCTCGCTCGCGTTGCCATCGCACAGCTGGATACCCTCGCGAGTCTGCCAGCATGCCACATGAAGCTCCGATTTGGTCACGCGAACGAGGTCTGGGCTCCATGCTTTGCGTGTAGTCCCGTGCGGCCGCCACAGATATGATTGTGAGGCTAGAGTCGAGTCAGCAAGAGTTGTCCTTCCACCGGGAAGATTTCTCGTATTCAGCGACAGGTGGCCGCCGCTTTCCGGTGCCCATCAACGCCTTACCTGTATCAGGCGGTCGTCCATCGTTCTTGGTCTTCCCGAGCAAGCCTCGCGGGCCATGGTAGCGCGTATATTTTGTGTAGCGAAAGTTTGCCGCCGCGCGCTTCCAGCTCTGTCTATCGCGGCCGTAGAAAATCTTTACACCATCCAAATCGCGTTGTTTAGAGGCAATTCGGCACAAAAAATTGACACCATTCACCCGCTGCGACATCGGAAAGTTCTTGATAATAGCCTGTTTGCGATGCAGCCATTCGAGCCATCTGATGGCTGTTTGGCATTGCGCAAGCTGATGGCTAATGGCTGATGGATGGCTGATAAATAAAGTCAGTGTGAGCTCTTTTCTGCTAGAAATAGTGTCAATGAGTGTGTGGTTACATGTGAACCTTAAGGAACTCCCCTAGACTGCATGAGACCTCCAAATCCAACAAAATTAATCTTTTTGAGCTTACAATCCAGCTGTTATATATGTGAGTGGGACTGATCACCCATACATGAGCTGTCCGACTCGGAGGTAACTCAATAACTTCAAAAATAGGGGCAAGTATCGAAGCCATTCGAGCCATTAGCCATCAATTTGCGCAACGCCAAACAGCCATCAGATGGCTCGAATGGCTGCATCGCAAACTGAGTAGTAGTGAACCTCGTCACTTCGTTACTTCGCTTAGGAGCGAGAAAGATCGTGAGTTTGATGGGAAAGCGTGAAAGTTCGTCATTTCAACGAAATTCTGGGAAAGCTCGTCACCTCAACTAAATTCTGGCAAAGCTCGTCACCTCGATTCAATTCTGGTGAAAGTTCGTCACTTCGGTGCCCGCGCGTGGTAAGTGTGTACTGTTTGATCGCTGGAATTACAGAAAATCCCCCGTTCTTTGTTACCACCATCCACACTGAGCTCTGCTGCCAGCCATTCGCAGTCGCGTGCCCGCCCCCGACCCGGTATGGACTACGCGTGGTGCTTTGGAAGCCATGACTTGGTGCAGACACAAGCTGACTACATTGAAACAGTTGGCCACGCTGCACGCTGATTTATACCCTTTGTCTCAGCCCGATCGGTACTATGGCGGCTTCTTCGACGGAAATATCAATGACCTGCAGTGGAAGAGCTCTACTTGAAATACCCCAGTTTCTCTGGTTCCTAATGCTACTCCCTTTACAAAGTTAGAGATGGGTTTAACCATGAGAAATTTTGGAGAGGCCCAGCATGCGGCGAACACCGGAATTGGGACGGGGCTCGTCAAATTTTGTCATGCAGTACGCCCTACGAGTCTGCTTTCTTCACTCCATATTTCCCTAATTATTCGCCGTCAGATACGAGGATCCCGATACCCGGCGTGCGCCTGAGATTGAAGTTGAGCTGCAGAGCGGAAACTTACACAATCCTCGCTGTGAGGTGTCTCATAGATGCCAAACAAGCTCGAGCTGCAGACGACGACCTCCAAGCTGCAGAGAAAGGGTTTGCG